TGTCTTTTGATTGGGACATTTAGTCCGTTTACATTTAGGGATAGTATTGTTATGTGTGAATTTGATACTGTCATTTTGATGCTACCTGGCTGTTTTGTTGGTTAGTTGATGCAGATTCTTGATTGTGTTGATGCTCTTTTACCATTTGGTGTGTTTTTGGAGTGGCTGGTACTGATTTTCCTTTATATGTGTAGAGCCTCTTTCAGGAGTTCTTGTAGAGCAGGTTTGGTGATGATGAAATCTCTGAGTACTTGCTTGTTCGCAAAGGATTTTATTTTTCCTTCACTTATAAAGCTTAGTTTGTCTGGATAGGAGATTCTGGGTTGAAAGTTCTTTTCTTTAAGGATGTTGAATATTGGCCCCTAGTCTCTTCTGGCTTGTAGGGTTTCTGCTGAGAGATCTGCTGTGAGTCTAATGGGCTTCCCTTTGTGGGTAACCTCACCTTTCTCTCTGGCTGCCCTTAGTATTTTCTCTTTCATTTCAACCCTGGTGAATCTGACGATTATGTGCCTTGGGGTTGCTCTTCTTGAGGAATATCTTTGTGGTGTTCTCTGTATTTCCTGGATTTGAATATTGGCCTGCCTTGCTAGGTTGGGGAAGTTTTCCTGGATAATATCCTGAAGAGTATTTTCCAACTTGGATTCATTCTCTTCATCACATTCAGGTACACCTATCAAACGTAGATTAGGTCTTTTCACATAGTCCCATATTTCTTGAAGATTTTGTTCATTCCTTTTTGCGCTTTTTTCTCTGTTCTTGCCTTCTCTTTTTATTTCATTGAGTTGATCTTCGACCTCTGATATCCTTTCTTCTGCTTGGTCAGTTCGGCTGTTGAAGCTTGTGCATGCTTCACGAAGTTCTTGTGTTGTGTTTTTCAGCTCCGTCAATTCACTTATATTCCTCTCTATGCTGTCCATTCTTGTTAGCATTTCATCCAATCTTTTTTCAAGGTTCCTAGTTTCTTTGCGTTGGGTTAGTAAGTGTTCTTTCAGCTCACTGTAGTTTCTTACTACCCACCTTCTGCAGTCTGATTCTGTCATTTCATCACCCTCCTGCTCCTTCCGGTCTGGTTCTCTTGCTGGTGAGGAGTTGTGATCCCTTTTAGGAGGAGAGGTGTTCTGGTTTCGGGAGTTTTCATCCTTTTTGCGCTGGTTTCTTCCCATTTTTGTGGGTTTATCCACCTGTTATCTTTGTAGTTACTGTCTTTCAGATTGGGTCTCTGAGTGAGCTTCTAGTTCGTGGATGCTGAAGTTACTTCTTTTTTATTTTTATTTTTATTTTTAAGCTTTCCTTCTAACAGTCTGGCCCCTCTGCTGTAGGACTGCTGAGGTCCTCTCCGGGACCTGCTTGCCTGGGGATCACCTGCAGCAGCTGCAGAACAGTAAGGGTTGCTACCAGTTTCCTTTCCCTCTATCTTTGTCCCAGAAGGATGCTCGCCAACTGTCAGTCCGTTCTCTCCTTTATGAGGTGAGTCTTTGGATCTATAGGGGTCAGGGAGCTACTTGAGGAGACAGTCTATTGGGGCTTAAGTCCTGAGCTGTGAGCTCCGTTGTTCGTTCAGAGCTGCTGGGCAGGTACATTTAGGTCTGTTGCAGCTGAACTCATAAAGCACTTTTTGTTCCCAGAGGCTCTGTCCCAGGGAGTTGGGGCTTTATGATTTTCCGTTGCGCTACTGCCTTTTTAAATTTTTCTTTCACATCTGCCCCGCCCAGCAAGCAGCACGCCTAGCCACTGTCTGCCTGCAGAGGGTTTGCTGAGCTGCTGTGGGCTCCGCCCAGCTGCCCTGCGCTCTTCCCTGCAGTCCTGTGCATAAGGGCGTAGTTAGAACTGTCTCGGCAACGGTGGCCCCGCCTCTGTTATGGCGGACTCTCTCTGTTGTGGCAGGTTGCCTTGGCAACAGTGGGTTGCCTTGGCGACAGGGGCCTGCCTCCGTAGAGGTGGAGAGTCTCAGTAATGGCAGATGCCTCTCCCCCACCAAGCCGGACCGTCCCGGGTTCAGCTGTGCTTGGTTTGAAACACTCAACCCAGAGGGTTTCCAATTACTGTTTTTGTTTTCCTTGTGGTGGGGGTGGGGGGTGGGACCAACCGAGCCTGATCACCTGGCTCCCTGACTCAGAGTCTTTTCTTTTATTTTTTAAGTTGAACCACCCGGCGTTCCAGTTGCTTGTTGAAAAGGCGCCGGGATCTCCCGTGCTGCAACTCACTAAGTCGGCTCTAACAGCGGCGCCGGCTCCTGGTGGATTTTTTGCCTAGGAATCTCCTGGCCTGGCTCACTATTTCAGATGAATGGGCAACTCTGCCATCTCAGGGCTCGATCGCCACCTAAGAGGGCTCCCAGACTAGTGGCTTTTTTTTTTTTTTTTTTTTTTTTTTGAGATGGAGTTTTGCTCTTGTTACCCAGGCTGGAGTGCAATGGCACGATCTCAGCTCACCACAACCTCCGCCTCCTGGGTTCAGGCAAGTCTCCTGCCTCAGCCTCCTGAGTAGCTGGGATTACAGGCATGCACCACCACGCCCAGCTAATTTTTTGTATTTTTAGTAGAGATGGGGTTTCACCATGTTGACCAGGATGGTCTCGATCTCTTGACGTGGACCAGTGGCTTTTGTACGGAGAACCGCCGCAACAGGGCATGGTCACAGCAGCTGTGCGGGTCAAATCAGCCCCGCGGGGGCCAAAACAGCAGCACCAGCTGGAACAGCGGCGCTGGTGACCCCTCTGTCTGGGTATCTCCTGGTCTGTGGGCAATAAAAATTCGTCTGGAAATGCGGCGTCCAGTCACCCTCTGCACTTTCACTGGGAGCTGAAGTCCTGAGCTGTTCTTAGGCAGCCATCTTCCCAGCATTCTTACACATTTTTTAACTACTGCAATGCAACTCATGGTAAGTATGACTGTAATTTAATTATTGCATTCTTTGTGGTCCTTTAGAATGCTTCTTACTTTTCACCATTGCAAATAATACAGGAATGACTCCTTTCTACATATCCCTAGAGCACATGCATTACTGTTTTTCTAGGATAGATATCTAAAATTGGAATCACTATGTCAAAACGTATGTATATTTTAAGGTTTGATACTGTTAACATGACCTCTAAAAAGCCGTTAGAAATTTGTTTTGACAAAGCATTCAGGAGAGTATTATTTCCCCAGCATCCTCCTACAAGCTAAATCTTAATAATAGTTTATAATATTTAATATCTATAATTTAATATTTAATATTAATTATAATTTTTGCCAATTAGTTGGGTGAAAATTTTTATGCCATTATAGTTTTATGTTTTCCTGATTAGTTGTGAAGTTCAGAATCTTTTTGCCATTTATATTTTCTTCTCCAAAAATTGCTTGTTCATTTCTTTGTTCTTTTATATATTGAATTTTTTCTTGCCTTTTTCTTGTTGGTCTATAAGAGTTCTTTCAATATTTAGGATTTTAACTTTTTGTATTTTATATATTGTAAATATGTTCTTAGGCTAGTTTTTTTTTTATATTTGTGAGATCCTTTTTTGAACAAAAGTTAAATTTTTAAAAAATATTCAAATATGTTAATCTTCCTCTTTACAAAAGCTGTGTTTTCGTCTTTCTTAGGAAGATATTCCCCGTTTCATGATTATAAAATTAATATTTTTATACTTTATGGTTTCATTTGCTTTTCATCTTCCCAAATGAATGGCTAATGGTCTAAATAATGTTTATTAAGTGGCTTACCTTTTCCACACTGATTTGAAGATGGTATTAGTATTTCAAGAGCTAAATCACTACATAACAGTTTTTAGATGTGTTATTTAAATTTGGTATATATCTTTTCATTTATGTTATTTGTACAATTGAATATTGTAAAGAAAACATTAGTTGTCTAATTCATGTTATTCTAAAAAACAAGTTTCAGTTATAATGGGAGGTAAATATAAGAGTGGTATGATCTTCACACCTTTTATTAGAATCTTTCTCAGACATCTTATTTTATTCTACTGTCAGTGGGACCTATCTTCTATATTATTTTATAATTGATCATTGCTAATATGTTAGAGATCTATTGATGTTTACATTTCAATCTTTATGGGTTCCCTACAGAACTTTCTTCTTAGTTTTTATTATTTCTTGGTTGATTATCTAAAATAATCAATTCTTCCATAAATAATGGTATTTGCCTTTTCCTTGCAATTTTTTTTCTCTTGTCTCATTACATTGGGGACTGCTAATACATCTTGTAAAGCAGTGTTGCTAGAAATGTTTGACCCCATGCACTGATGCCTCCACTGCTGTGTTAACACCTCCGTGTGGGGACTCCATCGAAAATCTTGGCTGAGGTTGGCATCTCCTGAATAACAGGGAGCACGGTGCCCTAAGCCGGCTGTTGCCCTAGCCCACAGCCAGCTCCGTGCCCGAGTTCCTTTCTGCCACTAGTCCTTGTGCTGGGTGCCCTGGACACGTCCTACTGGTGAGGGACCTTGGGAAGGTAACAGTCTGTGTGCCTTTGTCTGGAGACCAACCTGAGAATATCCTGGGAAACATTTTCCTGATGAACTTCTGACTGGCCTTTAAAAAAAAAAAAAATCCCACTGCCCAGCCTCAGTGCATTTGGCAAATTCTTACTTTGCTTCCCAGAATCAGAAAATTGGCAAGGTCCTTAAATGGTAATCTGGCCTGCCTGGGAAAAAGACTCGGGAGAAAAGCCAGTGGAGAAGGAGAAGGTGGCAGTAGGGCTGCCCACCCAGGAGCCATGCAGATCCCGAGGCGCACCTGCCGCCTCCGTGTGGCCAGTTTCTAGCAGCTTTTGCAGCATTAGCCTACACGCTTTGTCACTCCTTGCCCTCTGTGGTGGTCACTATTTTTCTCTCATGCCAAATGATGCAGTCCCTGAGGGATGGTGACTCGTGGACCTGAAGCCTGGGGGAACCTCGGGCATGTAGACTGGCACCCTTCAGTGTTCACCATTGTTTCAATAAAATCAAGAAAATGCAAAAAAAAAAAAAAAAAAAAAAAAAAAAAAAAAAAAAAAGCCATGGCCCGCGATGAGGCCTGTGCCGTAAAAACACATCCTGCAGGTTCGAGGGTAGTCTTCATTCCTGGAGCTCACGCCCACAGGCAGCACAAATGGCTGCCTTTGCCCACTCTGGGAAGGCTGTTCGGCCGCAGCTGCGGCATCCCCAGGTTCACCGCAGTCCTCAGCAGGTGTCCCGTCTGGGCCCCTGCTGGGTGCCTCTGCCCTGGGCTGAGCAGGACTTGGCTGGGACTCCCGGAGGCCCTGTCGGCCATGCCCCTCGCCTGCCTCGTACCCGCCTTTCCTGCTGCTCCTGGTGTACCCGGCTCTCGCACCTCCAGGACGATGCGGGACAGCTCGTTGAAGTTGCGCTGGTTCTCGAGGTCAGGCAGTTGGATCTGGTGTCTCAGGTCAATCTCTACCGTCTGCTGCCTGGTGGGGATGTTGGGGTCGCCCGTGATCTTGGTGCCCCTGGCACGCCGGCCGTGGAAGCTGAGCATCACAATCTCCAGGCCGTGGCTGCCATAGGTGCCTTTGAAGAGGCCTGGTTTGATGAGGTCATCAGGGCGGCTTGGCGGCAGGTAGATGCGGCGGTAGGTCAGGCAGTTGTCGTACTGACTGGTGTAGATGAACTTCATCAGGATGAGCTCCTGCATGTGCTCATGGAAGATGTCCTCCAGCGTGCGCCCCCATTCCTCCCTCAGCCATGTCCAAAATTCCTCCTGCCTCCCGCCAGACATCCTGTGGTGGTACGTCTGGTTGCACTTGGTGGAGAACTTGAAATTACATTTCAAGAAGCAGGTGGATCACCTGAGGTCAGGAGTTCAAAACCAGCCTGGCCATCATAGTGAAACCCTGTCTCTATACTAAAAATACGAAAAATTAGCTGGGTGAGGTGGTGGGCACCTGTAATCCCAGCTACTCAGGAGGCTGAAGCAGAAGAATTGCTTGAACCTGGGGGCCTGAGTTTGCAATGAGCCGAGACTGCACCACTGCATTCCAGCCTGGGTGACAGCCAAGACTCTGTCTCAAAAAAAAAAAAAAAAAAAAAAAAAGGTTTCTAAAAAATACTTCATTTTGTTTAGGCCTTTTAATGTATATTTTACCTAATTTTTTTTTTTTTTTAGTCAGTGTCTTGCTTTGTTGCCTCAGGCTGCTGATGCACAGTGTCACAATCACAGCTCACTGAAGCCTTGATCTCTTGGGCTCAAGTTCTCTTCCTGCCTTAGCCTCCTAAGTAGCTGGGACAACAGACACACACCACCATGCTTTCTTTCTTTTCTTTTCTTTTTTTTTTTTGTATGTGTCTAGCTTTTTCTTTTTAATTGCATTTTAGGTTTTGGGGTACATGTGAAGAACATGCAAGATTGTTGCATAGGTACACACATGGCAGTGTGATTTGCTGCTTTCTTATTTTTATTTTTATTGGGGTCTGACTTTGTTGCTTAGGCTAGTTTCAAACACTTGACCTCGAGCAAACCTTCTGCTTCAGCCTGCCAAAGTGCTGGAATTACAGATGTGAGTATATTTTACTTAGAAAATCTTTAATAATTTTTATTAAGCTTTTTCTTGACATATAAACTTTGATAATATAATTATTGACATTAGTAGTTTGGCTTGGCTACCTTGAACCACCCTAACATTTGTGCAATAAAACCCAAATGGTCAAGACAGGTTTTTTAAACCCTATACTTTGGATTTGATTTGCCAGTAATTTGATTATCAATTTTACACCTAAATCCTTAAATTAGCTTCCTTCTTTTGAGCTATCTTTGAGCATCATCATAAGAATTGTGAAATACCTTAAAGAATGCTTTAAAAAGCTTTTTATTTTTATATTCAAGAAAAGTAAGTTTATGTACATAGAAATTGTTTCTTGAAGATTTGATAAAACTATCTGAGCCTTCTTCATTCTTACAAGGTAGACAATTGAACATCTTTGCAGTTTTTCTAAGATTATTGACATATTCAGAATTTTTTTCATTAGATTGGAATAATTTTGACAATACATGACGGGTATAAATCAAAGAAATAATCTGAGGAAGATATTTAGCCTCAGTTGTTCTTGTTGCAAATCAAGAAAATGAAAAATAAATAAATTAAAATCTTAAAAGCTAATAATAACTAATAACAAAACAAGTTCTAAAAAAGTAAAGAAATGAATTAACAAAAACAAAAGCAGAATTTTTTTTTTTTTTTTTTTTTGGAGACGGAGTTTCGCTCTTGTTACCCAGGCTGGACTGCAATGGCGCGATCTTGGCTCACCGCAACCTCTGCCTCCTGGGATCAGGCAATTCTCCTGCCTCAGCTTCCTGAGTAGCTGGGATTACAGGCACGCGCCACCATGCCCAGCTAATTTTTAGTATTTTTAGTAGACATAGGGTTTCACCATGTTGACCGGGATGGTCTTAATCTCTCGACCTCGTGATCCACCCGCCTCGGCCTCCCAAAGTGCTGGGATTACAGGCTTGAGCCACCGCGCCCGGCCAAGCAGAAATTTTTTTAAGCTAAAATGATCATATTTAACTTTGGTACATTATATTTTATTACTATTACAAATATATTTTTCATGTCTACAGTTTTCTTTTGTATTCTTAATATTATGTGTTAATGTTTTTATCCTTTTATTTTGATCCCACAGGTGAGGATTATTTTATTTTATTCAGCTTTTAAAAATGTGACTTTTGGCTATATTGATGTCATTATCATGTCTATTTCTGCTTTTGTTTTTATTAATTCATTTCTTTACTTTTTTAGAACTTGTTATTAGTTATTATTAGCTTTTAAGATTTTAATTTAATTTTATTTATTTTTCATTTTCTTGATTTGCAACAAGAACAACTGAGGCTAAATATCTTCCTCAGATTATTGCTTTGATTTATATCCCTCAAGTTTTGATATGCAGTGTTCTTATTTTGCATTTATTTTTAATTGATTTATGATTTCTATTTCTTTCCTTCTTCTCTGTCCCTCTCCCCTCCCTCTCTTTTTCCCTCTTTTCTTCCTTTATTTCATTCATCTCTCCATCCTCTCTCCCTTCATTCTCTTGCCTTTCCTCCCTCCCTCCCCTCCTCCCTTCTTTTCTTCCTTTCTTTGTTTTTAGCTTATTAGGGAGTACTTTTAGGATCAACACCAGCAGAAGGGAGGGAAAGAAAGCAGAAAGGGTAGAGGGAGAAATTAAGCTACAATGCAGGGTCCTGGCTGTCCCCACTGGAGCAAAAATGGTCTGCTAGGGTTGTTCCAAGTTTGGCCAAAATGACTGGGCCCTTATATTCGTACCTTAATCAATCATCACATGTTGGCTGTTCTTTGATCTTAAGCAAAGTTCCTTGCTTAACTTGAGGCACTCTCTGAAGGGGCTGATAAATTAAAGCTGTTGGCTGACAGTTGTCTTGTAACCAGCTCTTCCTTGAAAGGGACTCAGGGTGCCTCACCATGTCTATCACAGTTTAAAACATGCTTAGCACTTGTTTTGCTTACCATTTCTTCCTATGAGACTCCTTCTTCTGGAGTCATTTTTCTTCTTGAAGTGCATCTTTTAGAATTTTCTTTAGTAAAGGTACATTTAATCAAATATATGTTTTATATCACCCTCATATTTAAAAGATAGTTTGGCTGGATACAAAGGTCTGACTAAATTTTTTTTGTGTTTTCTCTTCTCACATATTGAAGATATGATTTCATTATCTTCTTACCTTCATTGCTACTGTTTAGAAATTCTGGTCTGGGTGGGGTGGTTCACACCTGTAATCCCAGCACTTTGGGAGGCCAAGACGGGTGGATCACAAGGTCAGGAGTTCAAGACCAGCCTGACCAACATGGTGAAACTCCATCTCTATGAAAAAGACAAAAAAATTAGCCGGGCATGGTGGTGCGCACCTATGATCCTAGCTACTCAGGAGGCTGAGGGAGGAGAATCACTTGAACCTGGGAGGCAGATGTTGCAGTGAGCTGAGATCGTGCCACTGCACTCCAGCCTGGGCTACATAGTGAGACTCCATCAAAAAAGAGAAAGAAAGAAAGAAAAAAAAAGGAGAGAGAGAGAGAGAGAGCGAGGGAGAGAGGGAAAGAAACAAATAAATAAATTCTGGTCACTTTGCCTTTTATTTTAGCTAACCTATTTTTTTCTGGTTGCTTTTAAGATTTTTTGTCTTTGGTATTTTACTGTTTCACTCTAATGTGTCAAGGAAATTAACATTTCCTCTTATTTATCCTCATCACATTTATCCCTCCTGCATTTGTGTTTTCTCCATTATGACAATTTCCAGACATATATATACATGTACATATGTTTCATCCTATCACCTATGTCTTTCTATTTCTTTTCTGTCTCTATGGCTCTCTCTTTTTCTCCGTGTATTTCTTTCTTAGTAATTATGTATGTGTTTATGTTTTAAACTTCTATTTTAGGTTCAGGAATACATGTGAAGGTTTGTTACACAGGTAGACTTGTGTTACTGGGATTCATTGTACAGATGATTTCATCACGCAGGTATTAAGCCCAGTATGTACCTAATAGTTATCTTTCTGTTTCTCTTCCTCCTCTCACCCTTCAACCTCCAGTAGACCCCCATGTTGTTTCCTTCTTTGTGTTCATAATTCTCATTTAGCTCCCACTTATAAGTGAGAGCATGCAGTATTGGTTTTTCTGTTCCAGTGTTACTTTGGTAAAGATAATGGCCCCCATTCCATCCATGTTCCCCCAAAAGACATATCTTATTCTTTTTTATGGCTGCATAGTATTCCATGGTTTATATATGCCATATTTTCTTTATTAATTCTGTCACTGATGGGCAGTTAGGTTGATTCAATGATTTGCTATTGTGAATAGTACTGTAATCAACATTCACATGCATATGTCTTTATGGGAGAATGATTTCTATTCCTCTGTCATTGGTAGTTTGATAGGAAGAGCATTGAATCTGTAAATTGCTGTGAAGACTGTCATTGGCAATTTGACAGGAATAGCATTGATCATCTACTGACAATTCAGTTTGGCCATTTTCATGATATTGATTTTTCATGTCCATTAGCATGGGATATTTTTCCATTTGTTTGTGTCTTCTCTGATTTCTTTGAACAGTGTTTTGAAATTCTCATTGTAGAGATCTTGCACCTCCCTGGTGAGCTGAATTCCTATGTATTTTATCCTTTTTGTGGCCATTATAGATGGGATTGCCTTTTCAATTTGGCTTTCAGCTTGGCTGTTGGTAAACCTTACATTTGATATAGCTTATATCTCTAAAATATTGCATATAATAGTAAAATTCACTCTTCTATACTCTTTACCAGCTTCAATCATGGCTTATGTTTTACTCATTTGCATTATCATGAGTACCTTTTCCTCTATATGTGGGTATATGTGTGTACATACGTGTCTGTGTGTATTTCAGTTACTGTACTACATACTACATTTTTCCAAAGTTTAGTAACATTAAAAATTGTTGGTTATACAGGGTCTATGGGACAGAAATATGGGTAGAGCAAGTAGGCATTATGTCTGTCTGCCCCATAACGTCTGCAAGACTCAAAAGTTTGACTCAAAAGTTCCCCAGTCCCCTGCAGGTTTGCTTACTCACATGTCTGCCAGTTGATGTTGGCTGAAGGCTGGTAACAATTCAGTTTCTGTCCATGTGGAACTTCCCATGTCATTCTCTGTTTATCTAAGTAATGAATATATTCACTTTGAATTTATTTCTATCATCTTATTTTATGTTTTTCCATTTCCTGCGTCCTTACTTTCCTTGTTATTTGCTTGCCTTTTGTGGATTGATTGTGTTTTAATTACATCTGTTAGAAAAACTTCTTCTGGCTGAAAGTTACATGCTCCATTTATCTTCTTTTAGAGGTTACCCTAAATTTTTTTGAACACACGTAAGATGAGTGCATAAGCTCATGGTTCTCTAACATTGTCTAAAGGTAATCTGAAGAGGAACATAAGCACTTTTTCAGTCCTCTTTCCTCTCCTACTTCTATTGCTGCTAAGATCATCTATGATTAGAGGCTGGGCACGGTGGCTCACGTCTGTAATCCTAGCACCCTGGGAGGCCAAGGCAGGTGGATCATGAGGTCAGGAGTTTGAGACCAGCCTTACCAATATGGTGAACTCTTGTCTTTAAAAAAAAAAAACAAAACAAAACAAAAAACAATTAGCCAGGTATTGTGGCTCATGCCTCTCATGCCTGTAATCCCAGTTACCCAGCTACTCTGGAGGCTGAGGCAGGAGAATTGTTTGAACCCAGGAGGTTGAGATGGCAGTGAGCCGAGATCATGCTATTGCACTCTGGCCTGGGCAACAAGAGTGAAACTCCCTCTCAAAACAAAACAAAACAAAACAAAACAAAACAAAACAAAATAATATTGTCTACAATTATAGACCAGATTATTCACAATTCTATTTGCCTTGTTATACTTTAATATTTGTTTTGTCTAGGTTAAGTGCATATATTCCAAGCAACTTTAGAAGAATTGATAAAATAGACAAACAGCCTAAAAACTAAAATAGAGTTCTCAGTAGTCATTTCTGAGCCTGGATGCCCTAGTAAATGGGTATCTGACATGGTAGAAAGCCTGAGAAATAAAGCAGGAACTTTGACTTTTCACAGTTGTCAGAGTCAATGTCTCATTGCTGCAGCCTTCTGTTTTTCTGTCATATATCTCTTTGTCTCTTCAGTAGTGTATACAATCTTAGAATTGCCTTTGTAAAAACCAGTAACCCTTATATTGCTATATTCTCTGCTAGGTTTGGTTTATTTCATAGATTTCATATTTTAGAGAGAGAAGCATTTATAAACCTTTGATTTAAGGCAGAAATTATACCATAGATGGAAAATAAAAGTTATGTTAGTAACAAGGTGATAGAAGCTCATTTCACTTACTTCTGTATCCTCAATGTTAAGAACATGTCTTAAAATTTATGTTAGTTTTCTTATATGTAATAGAGGAAATAAAACACCCTACCTCTGACAGTTGTTATATACAAATAATGTCGAGCACAGAGTATAGCACAGAGTAGATGCTCAATAAGTGGTGGTTGTTTTTACTCTGTCTCTTATTCTAGTATTGTTTCTTTTTTCTCATGAAGCTTTTAGGTTATTTACAGTCCATACATTGATAACTGCTTGAGAGTTCAACTGCTGAGAGAACGCTGGCCTGGGATATGTGTGTATATAGATAATTCTCAAACCCTTGATCTAGTGATGAGGTTTTCTTCTATAATCTATTAATTTAAAAATTATAGAATCATGGAAGAGACCATGAATTTAGGAGAGTAACAGCACAAATATTAGAGATTTAGCTTCTCCTCTTCAATTTCAGTAATTTTAATGTTTATTAATTGAATGTTCAGTAATTTAAATGTCATCTTTGTGGTTTTTGGCATCTACAACTAATAGTTACATTATTGTGCAATAATTCTTTAAATTGACCTTACTTTAACTGATGTATTTTGTTACTTTACCTAACATTATATGCATGGCATGCCAGATAAATATAAATATATATGTATATATGTAAATATACTTATATAAACACATTCAGAACCATTAATATATAAACATATCTTTATAGTACCTATACACTTTTCATTTTACTGGTTATAAATTAAATGTATAGAATGTATAACTAGTAAAACAAAAACTTTTCATTTGTGTATCACCTAAAATTATATTACAGCATATGTTGTGAGTGCTATTCTTATTTTGGGAAGATGCATCCTAATGAGTAGAGCACTCACTCTCTCCACATTCTGTGATTTGTTATAGGCTTGAGTATCCAATTAAACTAGCTAACTCCTTCCCTCCCTTCTTTCTCACCTGCAGTTCATCCCAACTCCCACATATTCATTTATCTACAATTTAGAGCCCTGTACTTGCCAGATGGCAGGTACACAACAAGTAATGGGTAAATAATGAACTTAATGCTTTTCTAAAACAATTTCAAGCATCTAATTCTATTTCATTTGCCTTTCCCATTTTTATTTACACTTTAGCCAGTACTTTAAAATATGGAAAATATGTAGAGATTAAAATTTTGCCGTGTACATAGTATACTCAACTTATCTGAAAATTATATATTTTTAAACACAACAAAATTCAATGGTGTTATTATTTTTTATAATTGAGGATGTTAATACTCAATGACATGAAGTAATTTATGAGAGACCTAAGATGAATTTGTCCTAGAGCTTGATTTTGATTGAACCTAGGCAACTTGACTGTTAAATCAATTCCAAAATACTTGTAGATATTTCCCAACCACCAGCTCGGATATTAGGAAGGTTATTGTCTGTCATTCATTGTTCACTCCCCCTTCCTTTCTCTCTCCAACACAATTTCTCCTCCGTGTATTCGTACAAATACCATACTCTGTGTTCTCCATTACTCTTGGGACTTGAGCTAAAGACTATTTCTGTAATCATACAACATAATTTGCAATAGGTAACAAAATATATTATGACTCATTTTTCTAATTCCAGGTTACACTATATTTGCATATTTTACAGTTTAATAAAAAGTAATATACTTTGTATTTGTATTACATATTGCAAAAGCATAGCATACTTTGTTCATGTTGATTATAGTGAGTAAGTTTGGATTTCATAATCAAATAAGGATTGCCTTAAGACCTCAAGAAAAAAATATTTCATTGGCTTTGTATTCAAAAGCTCTTTTATATAAGCTGATTTAAATCTGGCAAAAAA